TTTGATCATACCCCAAAGACATACACAACGCCCGCGGAAAAGCAAGCAGAGTGCCCCCATCTTTCAGAAGGTGTAAACCCCAAAACTTTTGGATATAGCCACATTGCTTTCTTTGAAGTTTCAGTTCCCAGAGAGCCCATTTTTTTAACTCCTGTGTCTGTGCCTTACTCTGTTCTGTGCGTGTGAGGTAAGTTTCAAAACTTGAGGATTGCTTCAAGACAGTGCTTGACAAAGATGAAGAGAGAGGAAGAGGAAGAGGAAGGGAGAAGGAGGGAGTCAAAAGAGGACATCAACAAGCCAAGTGATATATCAACTATCAAAATCAATAGACATGAAAAGATGGGCGCCTTCAAGTCCAAATCACTGTGGCAACCAACAGCAACAGATGGCTGTGGTGAAAAGAACATAATATTTTCATATTCTTATTATAAATGTTGCCGGTACGGTCACTGTAGAAAGAGAAAACAAGCCGCAGATAATAAATAAGAAGAAAAATGGAAAGGGAATTTGCTTAGGTAAAACAAGGAGGGATGCACATGTCACTGGGAGAAAGTAGAGACGTAGAGATGAGGGGAGGTGGACGAACATGAACTAGTAGTGTAATATCATGGAATGTGACCATTGAAGTTGAAGGGGGAGAGAGAAAGAGGGAATCTCAAATCAAGTCGATGCTTTCTTTCTGATGGACTTGTGAGTTTTAATGTTTTAAAATAATGAGTTCCTCACTTTGCTTTTGTCCAACTGAAAATGATGGTGTGTGGGGCATTGGGTCGTTGGAAATGATGAGGAAGCTGTTTTGGGTTTGAGGCCCTTTGACACTTGACAGCGTCGGTTGGGGATGGGGGGCGTTTCGTAAGCGTACCGCTTCGAGTTTCAGCCACAGGGTTATTGTGATGTTATGTAAATTGAGATAATTTAGAGGGAAATCTTATTAAATACTTGAAAAATCTGATTGAACCAATATTTTATCAATATGTTATATATATTTAAACATTTTCAAATTTTGATATTATGGCTTTGGTTTAAAAAAATCACTCCCTCCGGTTTAAGATATAAAAGTTAAATTTTATTGGAAGGATTTGGTCTTTTTTTAGTAAAATAACATTTATTTTTGTCTAAGTATCTAATGAGTTTTTTTTTTTTAATTTTACCCCTTATATTCTCTTTTCTCTTTAATTTATTTATTACATCTTTTACTTATTTTCTTATTTTTTTTTTTTGAGCTTATTTTCTTATTAATAATGGCATATTTAGGGGGGAAAATACATTCCTTACATATTTATTATTTTAAACTGATTTTAACTAATTATTTGATAAAAATAAATAGATAAAATTTATCTTATATTTTGAATTGGAAGACAGCATATCATAAAACAGTGGGGTGTAATTTTCTGGGGGGAAAAAACAGTAAGAACATTGTTCAGTGTTAATTCGGACGTGGCCAAAAAAAATCTGTGACTTGAACAGTTAGAAAACAAGCATGCACGCGCGAGGTGCCACGGCAAATGGGAGGAGGTCGGGTCTAGTAAATATGATTATTAGAGGAGTCAGTAAATGCAGTTTAATAATGTCAATATTATCAATTAATAATCAAAAGGCATGGTGTGGGGTCAAGGAGAGCCAGTTGTGAGGGGGTGGCTGGATGGAGATCCAGAAATGGGTCTTCTCTGAAGGCGTTTGGGGAAGTGCGGTGCTTTGTTTCCCGCAATTTATTTGTAGTTTCGGGAAGTGAGTTCCTCTCTGCTTGTTTACCAAACAAATTTAAGACACACAGCCACAGCGGTGCTTGTAATCTCTCATCAATCGCCACCTCAATTGTCCCACACGCTTTTTTTTTTTTTTTTTAAGAAGGTGTTTGATTTAAGTACTTTTTTTTTTAAAAATATTTTTATGTAAACTAAAATAAAAGACTGTTTGAGCGCATCCATGGGCGTCTGCTCATCTTTGCTTTGGAATTATTTTGTTCGATTGTGATTGCCTACGATGTTATTGTTTAATAATAGAGGCCAGATCATTGGGTGTGAATTGAAAATTTTGAATTCAATGGATGACAGACGTGTTTACTGATCTAATGTGACAACTTGAGGTGGGAGGATGCTTTGCAAAGGCAGGAGTTTGGAGGAGTTTTGGCTCCATGCTTCATGCCTGTTTCCTGTGGAAGGATGTACTCTAGTTTCTTCTCGTCTTGCCCAAAGAGCGTGCGCTCATGGCTACAAATAAAAAACAAAACCAGCTTTGTCGTAGAGTGAGCTGGGCTGCATGGTTTAAATTTTTGGACAGCTACCATTTTTTGTGTTAAATTTTCTTCTTACCTTATTATAGTTGCATGGTTTAATTTGATTCAATCAATGATATTTTTCCTTGAAAATAATACAATAATAAATGAACAGTATAAAAATAAAAAATGTGCCCGTGTTTTGAAATGACCAAAAATATATGAATATTATTACAAGGTTAATATAATTTTTAGTTTTCAAATTGTTCTTTTTTTAATTTTAGTCACTTGTGAGATGATCTGAATTATATACAAACTAATATTTTAAATTAAAAAAACTGTAAAAAACCAACATTTATGATTTAAGATTTAAAGAATCAAAATCAAAAGTTAATCCTTAAAACCGACCTAGAAATAAGAGATGAGAAAAGACAGGGACAAAAACGGGGACGTAGGATGAGAGAGAGAGAGAGAGCGAGAGCGACCGGGGCAAGACGTAGGAAGCACGCGAGAAACCCGGGAGGCTTTTTAGTTGAAGATGGCGGCAGTACTCCCCCACACACACCGTCCCACGTGCCTGTCTTTGTACCCGCCACCCTTTTCCGTATTATTCTCCACCCGTTCTCTGCCCTTTATTGCAAGCGTGGACCAAGGCCCATTTCTCTGCTTTTGTTTAGTTATATTCACCCGCCCCTTCTTCTGCTTTCATTCTTCACAGTTCACACCTTCATTTCTTACTGCCCAAGAACAACCTACTCTCTCCTCGACGATAATAAATGCTACTCCTTTCACTCAGAAAAAATAAAAAAATAAATACTACTCTTCCACTGTTATATATATAACTTATTTTATAGTATAAATTTATATGACAAATAAGTTTTATATTTAGAATCGGAGTAGTATCTCAGATTCTTAATTAAAAAAATTAATTGACTAATTTGAGTAAACTAAAAAATTAATTAGATTAGTTATTTATAATAAATAGATGTTTTCTTTTTTAAAATATCTTTACTAATCAAATATATTAGTTAAGACTACACCATTATTATAAGGATTATTATGAAAAAAAAGATATATATGAGAGACAAAATAACTTAAAGTTTTATATTTAGTACCAAAGTAAAAAAATCAAACGAACTTTTATATTAATAATTAAAATTAGTACTTATACTATTTTTTATAAGCGTTAATTATTTTCTTGCCATCTTCATAAGCTTTAATTAACTATTTTACTTAAGACAGTTATAATTATCCTAAAAATTAGTATTAGTCACAGAAATTTGGTTAATTAGTTAAAAAAGTTTTATGACTAATTAAAGCAATATGAAAACTCAATATTTCAAATGAAATGTCATACCGTAAAACATATAGGAGGATACCTATATTTTAATGTAGGGGTGTTTATATGAGGCCCAGTAATCCGGTATGCTCGTCCAAGCCCGTCAAAAAAAATGCCCTGCCCGTCCAAACCAAAAAACACAGCCCGAAAAAAAAAATGAGTATTTTCGGATTGGGCTATTCATGGGTAGGGCCAGTTAGCAGGCATGGCATGCAGGCCTTCCCATTTGGCCTTGCCCCAAATATATATATAATTATTTATATTATAATATATTTTTTTTTAGAATTATAATGTATATAATGTAATATTAATACACTATATTTTATTATACTTCAATACGCAAAAGGAATATTACTCCCTTATATTATTAGACTTTATATTTTTAAAGTTCTAGTTTTTTTTTTTTAAAAAAAACACACACCACCTTTTTTAACTTTTTAAAATTATCTTATTGTGTACTATGATTATTTTTTAACTTTTATATGTTGATATTACTTCATATATCATGAAATAATACTAATTATACCAATTTGAATGTAATATATAGATCTCTATAAATTATATTAAACTATAAGTTAATAAATAATTGAACATGTTAATATAGCTTGTATTTTTTACATGTCTTGTTATTTTCTCAACTTTGTGAAGGTTGATGCAAATTATTTGGACTTTAAGACTTTGATTACAATTTTTTACTTTCTTGTTTTTAATAAATTATGGATATTGTTAAATTGTTAAAGTATGGATATCTATTAAGACACAACAATTTCACGACTCAAGTTATAAATTTGGGTAAGAAAAATCTGCCCTACCCAGCTAGCAATAGCCCAGTCGGAAATAGCATGGGCTTCTACTGGGCAGGGCCAAGCACCAAACTGCATTTTGCAGCTACCCTACTCAGCCCTACTCATGCACACCCTTATTTTAGCAACATATAAGAAGTTGTCAACTCCAAAGTAAAGCTAATCATATAAGTTGGATCTTAAAAAGCAAGCTTTTTTAACCCATCAAACTTTATTTATTTTTTAAATTAGTTTATTATTATAATGAAATTATCATATGCCATATCTTATTTAGAATTTTTTTTTAAAAAATACTCATATCATTATTTGGTAGTTTTAATTAAATATTTAAAAGAAAACAAGAATTTTATTTTATGTAAAAAATTGTTTTTAAAATAAATAAACAAATGTCATTGATTAGCAGCTTTTTGGCCCACATCACTTAAGTTCAAGGTCAGCTTCTAAAAATCTAATTTATACCATAGATTACATTACAAGCAAAATCTTATATTCTAAAATATATTTGTTTTTGTTTTTTTTTTTTTTAAAAAAAAGATGCTTATATGGACGGGGAGAGAAGAAATGCGCGTGTGATACTTGTTAAAATAAGGGGTGCAGTCTGTTGAAGGCCAAGACCAGCGAGACCCAGTGCGAAGGGTACGGATACCATCCCAGTGCATGTACTCGCTTTGTCTTCATTTCACATCAAGCCTGTCAATTTTCACACATTCTATTTTGTTTAGACTTCGATTGATTATTAGCCTCGTGCACTATAATCACGATGCGTATAAGGAAAAACATACGTTGGACCTATTCTAATTTTTCACACGAGCAATGCCTATCTATTAATTTGTAATAACCTGGTGAGGAGAAAAAGTTTCACCAGCCCTCCTCGTCCAGCAATATCAAATAAATTCAAATATGTATTCTGGCTCGCGTTCTTGTCGAACGGAACAACTGCACAAAGTCACAAACAGAAGGTGCAATGAATAGGGATAGTTAAAGTAGTAATAGACCAATATGCAGAAAATCAAGGAAGTGGGTAATTTATTAAATGTCTTCAGTATCAACCAAGTTAGTGCACTGGAAGATGTCATATTCTCTGCCCCTTCCATATGCATGTAGACACGAGTGACACGGAAAGGGGCCTTAAAAATGACACAGAAATTCATAAACTATGCTAGCAACCAATAAACTAGATAATGAAAGGATACCTCCATAAAAATCATAAGTGAGGATCACAGGAGAAAAGGCTTTCCGGTCATCAGTTCCATTCAGCAACCATCTGCAAAATATCCAAGCCGCAGCAACCACTGATGCAAGAGACAACACTGCCAGAATTCCAAAATGTGAAACATCATTTGCAATCATTGCAACTCCCAGCATTGCGCACTCTGCAAAACTAGCAACAGCAACCTCTGTTGTCCCAATGAGATTTGCTTTGGAGGAGGGGTTCCCCGTTTGAAGAATCTGCATCCCCACTTCATATGACATATTTCCAAACCTTGACAATATCTGCATACATGATCACATATGCATACATATCTTCAGCGGAAAACTTCAATGATAACTAGTTTTATGTGTAGGATACTCCCCAAATCATCAGATTATGCAAATTGAGACCATCCCAAGGTATTGCTTCCTTTCTTATAAAGCTTAAGCCATGGACAAACATATCTACTCAGGACAATTGTTACAATAAACTTGATTTAGATGAAGTTAAAAAAAAATGCCATTCCACTTAGTCCAAACTTCGAGTCTTGTTTGCCAACAATTGCAAGTTCTACTAAAAGTATCTTATCAGAGTTTCTGGTTTCATCGGAGCCGACTAACTTGCAAATTCAATATGGCAAAAATGCTACACTTGTCTCGTGCCAGCTTTACCCATACATCATGATTGTTGTCCTAGCGCTGCACTAAGCTACTTTATTTTATCATTATATACTTATCTTATTAGTGACAAAATAAAATACACTTACAATCAGACACAAGAAGGAAATAAGCGGGGTCTGTCGAGAAACTGCTCCAGTCCAATATACACCAACAGCCATGCTAAGAAGCAAAGCCTGCAACACTAATCCAATTGCT